AGCAAAAAAACAACCTCACAAACCCTCACTGATGTGATCCCACAACTGATGTGAAGGAGAAAGACACTCCCCACATTCTCTCCCCACATTCTTTTCACACACAAGAGCCTAGAGGAGACTAGGCTAATAGATTGTGTGTGCTCCAGGCCTGTGGAACTGCAGTGCTAGCATGGGTTCCCCAATGCTGCAGGAGGAATCCCAAACCTCAGGGGCCGAATCCAGGCAAGCCTGGGGACCACATCTGGCTCCCAGGCCTTAGGTTCCCCACCCCTGCATTAGAGCAATACCATCAACTTTAGAGCTTTACCCTTATGAACTAGGTACTGTTGGAATATTCTTCATAATAGGCAGGTGTTTTAAAAGTTCCACTTATATTAGCAACACCAAGAAGACTGCTGAAGCATCACAGCCTTGGGCAATACCAGCAGCTGAGTAAGGTGGCTGGTGGCCGACTACACATACTAGAATGAAAAACAACATGAGAAATTCAAGTAAAAAAAGCACAAGAGAATTCATGAATTAAGTTGTCTGGTGATGTTAATTCTTCACTAGATAAAAGACAATGCAATTGGAATTGGGTTGGACTCAGCTTACTGCCAAAATTTCAGGAATTCTCTTCATGTCAACTTAAAAGCTCATATAAAATATACATTTGAATTCTCCCTCTTAACATTCTGACAGCTGTACAAAAAGCTGGAGAACGTTCAACCATGTGATTTTGCTGCCTCAAAATAGCGTACAGCGCTGATGCTGCAGTGAATGAGAATTAGTCACCCAAAACCAGACCTTGTACTGGGACAATATAGAAATTACACACATTTCCAGGATGCCAAGAATGTATTCTGAACAAGTCAGAACTATATCCATTTTTGTTACTAGTTGGGGGAGTTCATGGCATAACTTGATGAGAAAATAAAATAATCCATAACATATACATACTGCACAAATGAGAGTATTAATCAAGACATGCAGTATTTGAAGTTCAACACAGATTGGGATAATTGTTTACATTTAACTTTCCAACTTGCTAAGACTTGCTGCATCCTATTCAGAGAAGTTACATTACAGAAGTTGGAAAGTATTTTTGCAAAGGATATTAAGGTTGCAAGAAACATCTGATACTACCTGATCCACCCTTCCAGAGTACCAAATTTCAGGCTTCTCGTACAACACAAGAAATTAGAGAGAGTAGAAATACTGCTATTTATTTTCTTCAAAAATTGTATCTAGCTTCAAAAATAATGTACCTTATTGATTATCAACAGCACACTCCGGCTACGTCTAGACAGCAGGGCTATGTCAGGATACTGGAAGTATCTTGAAACAGCAATTCCGCATCTTTAAACGGGCCCATTAAGTCTAAATATATTTCAGAATAACGGGAGCGCTATTCAGCATCCCTGTAACCCTCATTCTATGAGCATTAAAGGGATTTATCAAGATAGGTCTTTGTTTTGACATTTGGCTCTGCGTAAACAATGCCAAATTTTCAAATAAGCTATTTCAAAATAACCTTGAAATAATCTATGCAATTTGCAATTGCATACCACAAATTGCATAGCTTATTTCAAGGTAAGGGTGCTGTGTACACACCCCCTAAGTGATGCACAATATAGTAAGGGCAGGCCTACACCACAAACTTACAATCAACATGGCTGTGCCGCTTCTGGTTATGACTCTCTAAACCAGGGCTGCGCAAGATGTGGTCCGCCTTACATTTTGATTGGGCCCACAGACTGCTTCCGGCCACTTTCTATTTACATCCAGCTGCCCATGCCATCGAATTTCCAGATGGTGGCTCAGGCAGCAGGATCCTATTTAAACGGCTCCCAGTCATGGTGTTACCCTGGGATAGGCTGGAGCCGTGAGCCCTTTAAACAGAAGCAATTTAAAAGGCTCACGGTGCTGCCACTACTGCATTGCCTGGCAGCTGCTCAGGGTTGCTGCCGCTATTTAAAGGACTCCTGGTTGTGGCACTACCCCGACATGGGCTGGAGACATGAGCCCTTTAAATAGCCACCACAGCCCCAGGCAGCTGCTAGGCAACACCGGGAGCTGCAAGTCCTTGCTGTGTTTTAATTCAAAGCCTCTGGCCCTAGACAACCCAGGGGAGAGGGGAAACTAGTCCTCAGCCCCACCCCAGACCCCACCCCTTCCAGGGTTTGAGTCAGCCCATTCCCATATACCAAAATTCATTAAGTGCCGCCCCCCGCACCCCACCCCGTGAAAATTATTGCCCACCCCTACTCTAAACTGACAGCTGAGAGTTCGTCCATCATCTTAAGCACTCCAACTCTATAGAGGCAGTAGCTATGTCAGGAGAACCTCTCATGCCAACACAGCACTGTCTATACAAGGAGTTAAAGTTGATATAACTATGTCACTCAGCAGTGTGGATTTTTCACCCCGTGTGATGTACTTGTACTGAAGTATTTAATGTAGACCTGGCCTCAGACAACGTCTCTGTCAAAAGGAGCTTACAATCACATACTTTTTTTTTAAACTAACGCAACAGATCACCAATGATCAGGGTAGATCAATTTATCACATACTAGTGCAAATAAATCTTTTTATAATAGATACACAACAGCACTATTAAGATTTCCAAGGGAGCCAAAAGAAAGTAGATGTTTGGCACAGTGGCTTGGCAGAAATTCTGTGCAGAAAGGACAGCATGACAAGAGGCACAGTGATGAAAGTGGAAAAGGCAATAAGACAGATGGTGTGGCCAAAGCAGAGGAAAAAAGGAAGAAAGCAAGAAGAGAAGAAATTAAATGAAGTGGAGTTGTGCAGAGCCTTAAACACGAAGATGACCTGATCTTGATACAGAGGCAATGGAAAACCAATGAAGGGATTTGAAGATGCAGGAAATGGAATGAAGTGCAGTGCGTATTAGGGATGTTAAGGGCTTCCTTCCCCCCCCCCCACCCTTACTGTCTTTATCAGACAGAGGGAGCAAGGGGGACGGACCTGGGCTTTGCGCTGCGCTGCGCTGCCCCTTTGAAATACTGCCGTGGAGTCCCCAGCTGACCCCAGGCGCCATGCAGCACTGCTGCTTTGAAACACTGTGGCAGCAATTCCACGGGACAGCGCCACGTAGAGCCCACAATCAGTTGTGTGATGCTGCCCCTTTGAAATGCTGCTGTGGCGTTTCAAAGGGGCAGTGCCGCCCTATCAACTAATCAAATAGTCGATGCAAAAATGCATTGACTACTTGATTAGTTGATTACACGATACTTAACATCCTTAGTGCATATGAAAGATAGTGTTTATATTCTCTCAGTTTCATGGTCTAGGTACCAAGAAAGAAAATGGGGAGGGGAGGAATTCCCCTCATGCTATAGTCCAAAGGTTACGCTTTTCTCCCTTAAGCTAGAGTCTGAGCTCTCTGAAAAAAGAGCAAAACTGGAGGTTATGGTTCCTACAATGGCCATGATCCTTGACTCACACCTGCTGTAATACAAATAATGAAGTCAGGCCAAAGACAGTCTACATCAGTGAAGAATGCAACAGCTGAACAGGCACAGAATTCACAATAAAACCTACCCAGGGGGACCACAATAAAACAAACAACAGCCTCTTCCTGATCCTAGCATCATGGAAGATAAGTCATCATGTCTCAAGTAGGGATGTAAGCAACTATTCAACTAGTCGTTGCTCCCTCCTCCCCCACTTGCTGCTTCTATCATAAAGAGGCAGCAAGTTGGGGGGAGAAGAGGAGAGGGTGTTGGGGGAAGCTGCCTTAAAGGCCGGTTCCCTTCAGCTCCATGGGAGGGAGCAAGGGCGCACTGACAGCATTCCACCTTTGAAATGTACAAGAGTCCCTGCTGGGGCTCTTGTACATTTCAAAGTGGAAGCATGGCATGTAGCCTGGGTCCAGCAAGGGGAACAGGGAGTCCCCCGCTGGCCCCAGGCTCCATGAGGCATTTCAATCTTTGAAATGCACAAGAGTCCCTGATGGGGGCTTGTCTTTATTTCAAAGGCGGAACATGGCATGGCACTTCTGCCTCTGAAATGTAGAAACAGCCGGGCAGACTCTTGCTACATTTCAAAGTGGAAGCACCCTTATCAACTAATTGAATAGTCAATGGAAATTCCATCAACCATTTGATTAGTTGATTAATCTAATTTTAACATCCCTAGTCTCAAGACACGAAACCTGCATCTATCTTTGCAAGAGCAGTGACAATTAATGCTAAAATGAGCATTTGGAGCCACCAGTGTTCAGTAGTACTATTGAAACCCTGATTAGAACAGGCAAAGCAAGAGGAAAGTGAAGTGTCATTTAATTTTCCTCACAAGAAAAGTCTGACACAGCAGTAGAAGAAACCAAGCATCATAGAATACTGTAACATGTTAAAAGCACAAAAGTTAAAGAGGAACAGACACCAATTAGGCTCATCTTAATACCTGTGTATATTACTGTAAAATACTGCATTAAGTTGAGGCTTTACTATGAAACAGTTACACTGAAAGTCTTGCTTCATCACTGAAAGTTAGAGCTCTCAAAATGCCTTAACAGTTAACTTTCACTGAGTTACTGGAATCTAGATCAATTTGTTACTATTAAGGATCTTCTATAAACCTACTAAAATATACTTAGCACTCAAAATCAACTACAAATAATCAGGAACTTCTTCCATCTTCTGTTTTCAATCAGGTTAGTCTGAGGAGATATGGTCGCTTTCAAAAGCATTTACACTATTGCCCTCTCCCTCCGTCCTCCTTCCCGACACCTACTAAACATCCTACAAATCAGCAAAACAAAAAAGACTTGTAGCAGAATTTGACCAATTTTATACTAAAAACATATCCATTCTTCTGACTTCTCATTTTCTCAAAGTACTAAAAACATTTTACTTGATACCCAAAGTCTTCTAGTACAAGACTTTTAATGTAGTCATTCTGAAAGTTAGTTTCTCTGTTACTGGATCATCTGAATTTGATCAATATTCAGTTCCCCACATACTGCATGTCTCTGGGCATCTCCTAGAACTTACATTTTCATGTTTCATATGTTTAAGTAACCGTAGTTCTCTGTAGGTCCTTTTGGCATGAATGATGGACTGAAATGGTCTAGACAGTTTTTTCACAGCCACTCGCAACCCAGTTTTTCTGTCAAAGGCAGAGCTACAATTAAAAAAATAAAATAAAGTTACCAAATATACTATAAAAATACTTTAAAAAGTAGTAACCACATAGTGAGACCAAAATAACCCACTTTCCACTCTTCCCATTGAAATTAATTCATTAAATACCCTGTGCCACATTTTAAAAAGCCACGTTTCCACACCTATGTTTTGTTTCAAAGGAAAAGTGGAAAATCACAAGGTGAACCCTTTGCATCAGGATTAGTGGCAGGGAAAGGGGTTTTGAAGAAGAGAGGAGTACACTATACTTTAAGAAAACCATCTGATGCATATCCTAAAAGCATTTGTACATAACATTTTAATGTACTTGGAATTAAGATGCGACAATCACAAATGCAGTATCATTTTTAAAAAAAAAAAATCAATATTCCAAGAGATAATCAAAGTCTTCAAGTCTTTTTTAGCTGCAGAGTCTGGGCTTGTAAAAACTAGTAATTTAGAAGGAAGCATTCTACAAGCTTCCTCGAGCATTTCAGAGAATGACGACAAATCTTTTAGGAAACTTCATTTCAGTTTAATTCAACTAGTTCAGGTCAATTACTAGCTCAAAGTTAAGAAACAGATTGAGAATTGAAAAAGCAGGAGAGCTTTTTTCCCCCCCCTCTTACAATCTCTAGTTCTAAAATCTTGAAGGATATTGTAAACAGATAAAATCAATTCAATAACTATGTAGGCTACCTTTTTAAATAAAAGTTTATTTTAAATGGAAAATACATTTTGATAAATTCTTCATATGTATCAGCACATTTAAAGCAATTTTATTTCACTAATCAAAGCATAACTCTTTTGGTCATTTTAAATAAATTTCAGCTTCCATCCAAATAGAACTTGACATGAATCAAGAATAAAAAGTTAATTTACAAATTAAAAAAATACATCATTCACCATTGTTAACAAAATAAAACAAATAAAAATTGAAGAGTCTCAGTGTCTGTTAAGCTATATAACAGTTTAAAAATGTGTCCAGATGTAATGTATCTTCCTGCTTAGCAAAAAACAGTACCAAATGTATGTAAAGACTATACCTTAGTTGTAAATACATGTTTTAATGGTTATCAATTAATGCGATTCATCTTCTCTTCAGGGAAAAAAAGGTACAAATGCAAAACAAGATTAAAACTGATTATTTACAATCAAGATTTCATGCCAGCTGTTTTAATTCACTTTTGATTTCGATCAATCCATCCTGAATGTCATCACAAAAGATATTTACATATATGAAAAGCATTATTCTATTAAACCTACAATACATCCCTACACAAATATTCCAGAGCCCTGAGAATTTTGGAATCTAGGCACCAACAAAAGATGGCTATTTACTATGAACAACTAAATTTCCCTTTCCCTTTTTGATTATGTCTGAATCTAGCTTCTTCTGCTTTATTAAAAAAAAGAGAAAGAAAATGTGAAACTGATGATTTTATACTCAACGGTAAAATAATGGAGAAAGGGTGCAGAAAGTAGAAGAGATGCCAGGAGTATTGGGAAATCATTTGTTCATTTCATAGAACTTTTATTCAAACCGGCCTGCCTCTCATTTCTACATGAAATCCATACAAACCATTTCCCTTCATAATCATGAAAAGGAAGGGAAAGCTCAAGTTTACAAGTTCAAAGAGGGAAGCAAGGTCAGTAATGGAAAGTCCATCACCACATCCTACAGAAGAGAAGTCTCAGGAGAAAAACATATGCATACTAAAGTCAGAAATAAAAATTAAATATAACTCACTTCCAAACATAGTGTATTTATCTTCTATAAAATGAAGTCACAATACTTAGTGTAACCTGCTACATTTCATTTATGAAAAATACCCCTATTAAAATCCATGCATACTTTCTACTCCAAGTGCTAAAAAGAAGATTATGAAAAACTGGGCAACTATGCAGCCAAACACCTAACTTTTTTTTCATGCAGCAAAGATAGTCTTCTATACATTCTCTATTTTGTATTACCGTGATATGAAAGGAGTACTTTCAGTCTTCCTCTGTAGAAGAGCAGTAGCCCTGTCTGCAGCTCACAGGAAAAAATATGGAAATAGAGCTGGAAAAGTCTACAGGAGATCACAGAATCCTCAGACTGCTGTAGTTGAATTACTAACATTGCTTTGGGTTATTCAAAATGTGTTTGAAATGTACTATGCTCTTCATCATTTATGTGTATTAATGTACTTCCTACACTTCACTAACCGGACAGTCAAAATAAACCAGTAATGGTTTCATTTTGTTTTGATTCATTTCATCTCAAGTTCTCATGCACAATTACGATGCATCAATATTGAAGTAGCAAACCCTGCAAAGGAATATTTCAAATACCATTTTCATTTTACAGTTCCATGAAAACTTTAAAAATAGAAAAAAAATTAATTCAAAATCTATACACAGGAGTATCAATTTAATGAGGGATGAAGTGTTTTCCAAATATACTTCACAGCTCCAAAATAAAATCTTAGCCATCGTAATTCAACCTAGAACCAAACTAACGATCCTGTCCCAAACTAACGTCCCTACGCTCTAAATATTTCCTTTCAATATGCTCCTCCAACTGAAAAATATTTTATCCTAAAAACACTTCTATATTGTTCTCTACAATTAGGCTCCTTTATGGAAAAGAGCAGTAAGCTAGAAAGCTTTAAAGAAAGATCTCACCCAGGCTTTGTTTTAGCTGTTTAGGCTATAAGAACACTACAGAGCTTAGAGTACTGTATTACAGGTGCCATGATGTAGCCATGCTATTGTGAGCTCTCTAGTGTACCCCCTCTAAGCCAACAGGAGAGAATGCTCTCCCATCAACTTAATTAATCTACTCGCAACGAGCAGCCGCAACGATTTCTACAGAAGAAGATCTACTGCTGACACAGCTCTAGACCCAGGCGCTTAGGTCAGTGTAATTATGCTGCTCAGGGGCCTGGCTTATTCATACCCTTGAGTGACATAAGTTATATCAACTAAGTGATAGTGTAGACATAGTCCTAGATAGTTCCCTCTCTGAAGAGCTTACATTTATTAGGGCTGTGGTCTCCAAACTTATCATGGTTATGCTCAGGGCTCGCCAAACCGCGGTGAGCCCTGCTCGCCAGCCGCGCTGTCCGGCGATCTACTCATGGACAGATTGTTCTGCGCATGCGCAGATCGCCCGAACCCGGCTCTTGCGGGTTGTAATCTACTCGCCACAGGCGAGTAGACTGCATTATTTGTCGAGCCCTGGTTATGCTCCCCTTACCTACATTTATATCCTTCCCCAAGAGCAGGAGCCATGTCTTGCCCCTCTGAACATTTCTCTGCACTCCACAGGGGAGCACAACCCAGTTTTACATCCACAGGCTGCCTCGCCTGCCAGGGAAGCTAGAGGCTTCTGATTTAGAGCAAGGCTGGGGAAAGGAGGCGGACAGTCCGTGGTGGAGAAGGAACAGGTTAAGAACTATTTAGAAAAGTTAGATATGCACAAATCCACGGGACCGGATTTAATGCATCTGAGGGAGGTAGCAGATGTGACTGCAGAGCCTTTGGCCATTATCTGTGAAAACTCATGGAGATCGGGGGAGGTCCCAGACAATTGCAAAAAGGCAAATGTGGTGCCCATCTATAAAAAAGGGAAGAAGAATAATCTAGAGAACTTCAGAGCAGTCAGTCTCACCTCAGTTCCCAGAAAAATCATGGAGGGGATCCTCACAGAATCTATTTTGAAGCACTTGGAAGAAAGGAATAGTCAACATGGATTCACCAAGAGCAAGTTATATCTGACCAACCTGATTGCCTTCTATGAGGAGGTAACTGGCTCTGTGGACATAGGGAAGGTGGTGGACATGATATACCTTGACTTTAGTAAAGCTTCTGATATGGTCTCCCACAGTATTTTTGCCAGCAAGTTATGGAAGTATGGACTGGATAAATGGACTGTAAGGGTATGTCTACACTGCCACCTTAGTTCGAACTAGGGTGGCTAATGTAGGCATTTGAACTTGCAAATGAAGCCTGGGATTTAAAGATTCCAGGCTTCATTTGCATGTTCCTGGGTGGGCGCCATTTTTAAATGCCCCTAGTTCGAACTACCTGCCCACGGCTACACACGGCATGGACTAGGTAGTTCGAATTAAAGCACCTAATTTGAACTACCGTTAAACCTCCTTACAGGAGGAATAATTGACTATTCGATTAGTCAATTACTTGATATTTTACATCCCTAGTTGGTGGTCAGTTTCAAGCAGAGTGCCCCAAGGACTGGTTCTGGGGCTGGTTTTGTTCAACATCTTTATTAAAGACCTGCATGAGGGGAAGGATTGCACCCTCAGCAAGGATTGCATCAAGCTGGGGGAGAGGTAGCTACACTGGAGGGTAGGGATAGGGTCCAGAGTGACCTAGACAAATTGAAGGATTGGTCCAAAAGAAATCTGATGAGGTTCAACAAAGACAAGTACAGCATCCTGCAAGTGGGATGGAAGAATCCCAAGCACTGTTACAGACTGGGGACCAACTGACTAAGCATCAGTTCAGCAGTAAAAGATCTGGGGATTACTGTGGAAGAGAAGCTGGATATGAGTCAACAGTGTGCCCTTGTAGCCAAGAAGGCTAATGGCATATTGGGGTGCATTAGGAGGAGCACTGCCAGCAGATCTAGAGAAGTGATTATTCCCCCTCATCCAGCATTAGTAAGGCCACCTCTGCAGTATTGTATCCAATTCTGAGTGTGGGGGCACTGCGGCAGGACAGTACCCAAAGGGGAGGATGCTATGGTCTGGGAGGGATGTGCATCCTAACACAGGGGTAGAGGGAAAAAATAGATAGCAGGTGAGACACCAGTTAAAAGGGGGTGCTCCAGAGCTGAAAAGCTAATTCCCAGAGTGTCCAGCGGGAGGTGCCCATTGTGTTGTTACCACCGTGTTATACACAGCCTTAAAATGCAGTATATTTCAGCTGAAAAAGATGGTTGAAGAAGAGAACCTCCTTACACAAAACAGACATTTCAAATCCTATGTTTTAGA